TTGATCAGATCTATGAAAGCTTGAAAATCTTAAAAATTGACGGTAAAAAAATACGTTACAAGATGCACTATTTTCAAAACTTGAAATTCATTTTTTCTCATGTCCATACATCTTGATGTCGAGATAATCAATTTGATGATATTCGAGCATCAAAACAACCTCTTGTAGTGAATGTTTTGAAGTAGGCTCTAATTTGATTGTTTAGAGCCTAGGCTTTATATAAACTTTTCCCATATATATATATATATATATGGTGTGGTTTGTATAGAGCCTAGGCTCTAAACAATCAAATTAGAGCCTACCTTCAAATAGTATCGAGAAATTTGGTTTCATTATTAGAAATCTTTGTGATAGACTTAAAATATATTTTCATATTTATTTATAAAGTTCAAAGCTTCAAAAATAGTGTAGATAGACAGATCTATGAAAACTTGAAAATATTGAAAATTGACGGTCTAAAAAATGTGTTACAAAATATACTATTTCCAAAACTTGAAATCTATTTTTTTCTCATGTCCATGCATCTTGATGTCAAGATGATCAATTTGAAGATATTTGAGCATCAAAACAACCTCTCCTAGTGAACTTTTTGATGTAGGCTCAAATTTGAATGTTTAGAGCGTTGGCTCTATATAAATTTTTTTCCGATATATATATATATATATATATATATACTATTTCATGATTGGGAAGTATGGAGTATGGTTAATCTCCGCCATTTGTTACTGGACAGGAAGGTCAAGGATCCAAAGTTATCCATCTATGGAGATACCATATACGCCAGACCATAGGTGTATAAAACATGTTCCCATTCCCATTAGTTGTTTGTTTATCCCTCGATTGAATTGTATTCTAAAAGACCGTTGAATGGTACACCTCTAGTTATTCTATCTCAACTATGATGGGTAGAGGGACTCTAACCTTGCTGTACCAACGCAAAATAGTTTTAATTGTATATTTTCCATTATGTAGCAGACCAAAATAAACAAGAAAGGAAATGTACAAAATAAGACTATTTTGAAAAAATTTAATATGAACATAATTCCAATTGGAGAGAGAGAGAATGGTGAATTAGGATTCGTGTTGTCGACACCGATTAATTAAAAAAAAGAAGATAATGATGATGATAATGAAAGAGAGGAAAACCTGTAGTTTCATGAGAGATTTGAGCAAGAAAAGCAGCAACTTCCTTCTTACGAGTGGAGATGGTGCCATCTTTGCCAAAATCTGGAAAAGATCGAGCGGCATTAATGAAGGATGAGTAAGTGTAGAAGCCTTTTGCTGGGCAAGCAGAGTCATCCTTGTGCAAAAAGATGGAGTTGTAGAGTTTCTCAGGGACCAAGTACGAAATTGGGAAACCAAGAGCCTGTTTGGGGCCTAAAATAAGAGAAATAGAGAGGAAGAGATATAAGGGGACAGAAATTGAGCCATAGAATATAGACGTAACCATGGTTTTGAACAAATAAGTATTTGGATTTATTTGAGAGAGAGGGTTGCATTATGTAGCGTTTATATAGGGAGATGCAAAAAGGAATGTAGACTTGCATAGTGGGACTTGATTTTTTTTCAAGGAAATGCCGCGTTGCCGGCTGTTTCGAATAAGAAAGTCTTGGTTGGACTTTTTCTTCGTTGATCTAATGCGATAAAGAAACTCAATCTCTCTCTCTCTCAATCTCTCTCTCTCTAAATAATAAACTATTTCGTTTACATGCATTGAGCTCTCTTTCTCTCTCTCTCTAAATAACTCTTTCCTTTCCTTTATATTCTTTGAGCTCTCCCCCTCCTCTCTCTCTCTCTCTATAAATAATAAACTATTTCCTTTACATGCGTTGAGCTCTATCTCTAAATAACTACTTCCATTCCTTTGATATCTCCCTCTCTCTCTCTCTATCTAAATAACTATTTCCTTTATATACTTTGAGCCTATATTTTTTATATAGGCTTTTAAATAGGGTGTATGTTATGCCCTAGCGGGAGTATAGTGTAGACTTAGTCCTTTAGTAATAAAAACTACTTTGAAGGATTTTTTTTTCTAATGAAATTCGGGGCCTACTTATAAATCCCAGTGTGATTGTTTTCAAGGGGAAATTGGAATTTGAGTTCTATAGTACTTAGATCTGGTCGTCATCATGGTATCTATTTGTACCGCGAACACCTCCAATTAACGCCTTCAAAATGTAACTCTTCAGTGGCATGTCTTCTCCACTGAATCACCCAAAAAAAAAAAAAAAAATCCTAAGAGCATACTGATTTTGGTTTTTCCTGATGGACTAAATCTACATTTTGCTCCCTGGAGAATAGGGAGTTGACTTGAGTTAATCTTAAACCCTTGATGTCTCTTGCACTGAGGATCTTCATATATATTATGCGTTCTCCTAAGTCCTAGAGATTATGGCTCTCTCACTCTCCACTCCCCTCCCCTCGGTCTCATCAAAACTCTTTAATGCCACTTCGACGCAGTCCGGAATGTTTGACCGACCATATTATACTCAGTGTTCTCGGTTCCCTCTTTTAACTTTTTCATGCGATGTGGACTGTTGACCGCAATTTGCTTTCACCGTCTGAAATTATTAAACTACGTATGGTCAAGGTGCTCTTGCCCGTCAAACCAAACTTAACCCTAGGGCAGGCTCTAATTTGAAACCACATTTCTCACAATGTGGTAGCCTTGGGTTAAGGACCACATTTGGCGTAGGCTAAGGACCACCCCTGGGTTAAGGACCACATTTGGCGTAGGCTAAGGACCACGACTTGCCCGATCCGAACTGGGCTAGGACAAGGCCGCACCACAATGTGGTAGCCTAGGGTTACAAAATACACTTAAAACTACATTTCTCGATATTATTCGAAAGTAGGCTCTAATTTGATTGTTTGGAGCCTAAGCTCTATATAAACCGCACCCTATCTGTACTTCAAGTTTCAAAAAACCCCTCAAATCACGTCAATTCTTTTGTTTCTTAATTTCCTTCAAACTTATGTTAAATACGGATGCCAAAGCCGTTGACTTACAAACGTACTTACCAAATATGGACGTTACATAAAGTGTACCGTCCGTAAATATAATATAGACGGTGCAAAAAAAAAAACAAAAAAATTATAGTTTTAATTTTAATTTTTTCATATTCATGATCAGCATTTTTTTTTAAAAAAATTTAACGCTCTTTTTACCACCCGGGATTTGCCCTGTTAGAGTGGTTGAATCGACCGATCTATTGGTTAAGCCGATTAAACTGCTTTCGGATCCATAACCAGTTAACTGTTCCGATTTGATTATGCGAAACAATTGACACCTCGACGTCTATATTTTTCTTATTATTTTTGGTTTTATCAAAACATTTGACACTTTCGCGAAAATTATAATCCATCAAGCAACCTGTAGGCTTAGAAATACTTCTATTCGGCCTTGCTCGCAAGGTTCCAAAATTTCGTTCACCCAAAACATCATTCTTGTAGTCATTACTAAACTTGATATGAAAAAAACTTATGACAGAGTTGAATGGGAGGTGCTTAAGGAAATTCTTAATCATATGGGTTTTGGGGTAAAATGGAGGAATTGGATCTTTGGATGTTTATCCTCTGCCTATTTCTCAATACTTTTTAAGGGAAGCCTCATTAGTTTCTTTAAGGCTTCCAGGCGTCTTTGCCAAGATGACCATATGTCACCATTCTTTTTTTCTATCTATGCAGAATGTTTTAGCCTGATGATTCATAAAGTAGAAGGTTATGGGAATTTCTCTGGTTTCAAAGTAATTGAGATGGGTCAAAGAGTTTCTCATTTGCAATATCCGTATGATACGTTTATTTTTGGTGAAGCAGATGAGACGCAAGTGAAAAACATTGCTCGATTTTTAGATTGTTGTGATGTGGCTTTGGGTTTGAAGGTCAATTTCTATAAGACCTCAATGATAGGTATTAACTGTTCTCCGACCTTGATTCAATATTTGGCAAATCTTTTGGGTTGCTTGGTGGGCTCTTTCCCTATTACTTATCTGGGAATGCTAATCTCAAATTCTAGGCACTCTATAGCGGTTTGGGATAAGGTGTTAGAGAGAGTCCAAGTGAAGTTGTATCTTTGGAAACCGAAATACCTGTCTATGGGTGGTAGGGTTACATTGCTAAGTTCATGTTTAGCAAATTTACTAATCTACTTGATGTCTCTTATTCAAATGTCAGCCTCAGTGATAAAGTAAATTAAAATAATGATGTGTAATTTTTTGTGGGGGTCTTTTGGGGAAGAAATGAAGTATCACTTACTTAGGTGGGATCGTGTTTGTATCTCTAAGAGTGAAGGTGGTCTTGGCATTAGAAAGATGAAATATATGAATGAGGCATTGTTTTATAAGTGATGGTGGAGAAGTTTTTACTTTACAAATCAGCTGTGGTTTCAAGTTTTGTCTTCGAAATATGGCTTTGGTAGGCAGGAAATGTGGTTAAGAGGGGGTAGAAATAAAGAGATGTATTCTCTGTGGACGTCTTTTTGTAGATGTAGGCCGATGATTGCGAGTTATTTTTGTTGGAATGTTGGTTGTGGTGACAACATCAATTTTTGGCATCATAAGTGGACATGTGATGCCCCTCTGAAGCTTACTTATCTGGAACTTTTTGCAAAGGTTTTACAACCTAATGCTATGGTTTCTGAGATGGTTGAAGTGAGAGGTAATCGTGTTGCTTGGAGTATTAATTTTCCATGTAATAGGTTGAGTGAAACTATTTACCTTCAATGGAACGATTTGATGGGTATTTTGGATTCAGTTTATATTTCCCAAAGGGCAATAGATGAAGTGATTTGAGAAGTTGAGTGCGATGGGGTATTTTCGATCAAGTTTTATTATAGGATCTGTTTTCATGATCGATGGTATTTACCTGCAGCAGCCAAAGTGTGGAAATGGCCTGTTTCCCGTAAGGTGCAGGTGTTTTTGTGGTTAGCTGTCCAAAATAAGATTCTAACGGTGGATAATTTAATTAGGAGAGGTAAAATTTTGCCTAACATATGTTTGATGTGTAAAGTGGATGAGGAATCTGGGGAGCATCTTCTCATCCACTGCCACATTGGCTCAAGAATTTGGTTCTGGTTATTTGGGCTATTTGGGGTTCATGTTTCACTGCCCCAATCTGTGATGGGTTTAGTGTCACAGTTAGCCTTTCATCATTTACCTCCAGGGGTGTTTTGGTATGGCAAATAGCAATAGGGGCTACTCTATGGGAACTACGGAAAGAAAGACAGTTTATCTTTTGATAGACTACTGAGTAAAGTCAAACTGTCTATTTGGTCTTAGCTCTCAGTTACTAAAGAGGGTTGGGGGATTTCACAACCAGATATTATGTTGAATTTGCAAAATTTCTTTTTGATGGGTAGAGTAAAGATGAGACCAATGAGTATTTTGGTGGCACCAGAGAGTGGGGATTTAAGTTAAATTTTGATGGGAGCTCTCTGGGCAATCCAGGTTTGGCAAACATTGGGGGTGGTGCGAGACTGTTTTGGAGATGTCATCTTCTCACATGCTGGCCTTATTGATATAGCCACGGCTAACCGATCAAAGTTATTGCCTTTGTTGCAAGGGTTAAGAATTTTTATCTCTAGACACATCGGGAATAGCTGCATTATTGAAGGAGATCATTGAACGTAATTAATTGGTGCAAGAAGGAGCAACGTATTTCATGAAAACTAAGGTCTAGCTGGATGCAGATTATGGATCTGATGGCTTCGCTTTCAATTTCTTTTTATCATGTCCTTCGTGAAGGAAATTTCTTGACTAACTTTTGGCTAAAGGCGGCCTTTTTGTCCGTTTTATCTATCTCCTCTCATGTAATTTCTTTTGCGTAGATTTTATAAATAAAATAAATAATATTTATAGAAGAAGAGTTTCAAATAACGGCCGAAACTTGACAATATTTAGGCAATTGTATTGGTTCAATTTGGACTGACATGCAGGGTTTGAAAACTCAAATGAAAAACCTTGATCAACGATTTACACATCACCTCATTTCCCTATTGCCAAAGATGCTTCCGTTACAAAAGTCAAGACTCAAAAGGCCCATGAAAACTTAAAATTTCCAGAAAAGAAACCTCTGAAATGGCTTACACTTCCCAGCAATTCACGATATTTCCATTTCAAGTTTGTCCTGGATAAGAGATACATTTCTTGCGACAGTTCATTTTAGCTCGGAACTAGGTTCAAGCATATTCCGTCAAATTTCCGGAGCGAAGTTTCCATTTTCCGGCTAATAGGTTTGAATTGTTGCCTCGGCTCTTTTTGTCTTGGATAAGAGATACATTTTTTTTGCGACAGTTCATTTCTAGCTGGATTAAAGAGAGAAGAAGGGGGGAGAGAGAGATGATGCATTTGTTGCCACAGTTCACTTCTAGTAGTATAAGAGAGAGAGAGAGAGAGAGAGAGAGAGAGATAGGTAGGTAGAGAGAGAGATAGTAGTGTGACTAGTGTGCGTAACTAAGTGAGCGT